AGAAAAAGAAGCAGAGACAAAAAAGGCAACTGCAAAAGTTTCACTATAGCTCTGGTGAATTTCAATGGTGAAGTCCTCTGGAAATCTTCAATAATTGTTGTTGATTGCAGATGTGTCTAGTAGTTCCCATTGATTTAGCTTGTAAAGTGGGGAGAATGGCGCTAGGCTTACCGCACCGTGACGTCACTGCTGGAAGATGGCAGGAGGGAGGGGCTACTATATTTTGGCAAAAATGGCCGCTCCTAGACTCAGCGATCGCGAAGAAAATTATTGCTTTTATTTTTTTACTGATTAATGCTAATTAAAATTTAATCGCCGCAAACATATTATTTCCTGGTATAGATAATGATCCATTAATTATTCCTGTAATAACATGAATTGATTTAGCAAAATATGAGTTGCAAAATATAGGAAAAAAAATCAGATAAGAGTTTTATTTCACATGTACAGAAGAGGATTAGGGCCACTAATTTTATTTCAGTATATTATGGGAAAAAAGTCTGAATTCTGACTTTTTTCTCAGAATTCTGAATTTTTTTATTATTAGAATTCAGTCAGAATTTTGAGAAAAAAGCCAGAATTCTGAGAAAAAAGTCAGAATTCAGACTTTTTTCCCATACTATACTGAAATAAAATAAAAAAAACAGTTAATTTTTTTTTTTTTTTTTTAGTGGCCCTAATCCTCTTCCATTAATTTTTTTTATTTTTTTTTGTGGCCCTAATCCTCTTCCGTACACATGTATTTGGGTAAAAAAAAAACTAAAAAGTTCTGTTGTGTTTTTTTATCTTTCTGATTTCAAGGGAGAAAAAACAAACTGCCTAAATGAACAAAAATCAAACTCCAACGCCATTTTGCATAACTGTGAAACACAAGGCTACTTCATCATTACCATCATCCAAAGTCCTCTCCAGGATGGGCGGAGAGCTCGGCCGTCCGTCTCCGATCCGAGTGAAAGCCAGGACCTGGATCTCATACAGCACGTATTTCCCCAAACCGGTCAGCTGGATGCTGTGGGACGCGTTCCCCTCCACCATCCAGAAGCGGACCACGCTGTCAGAATCCTTCTCCTTATACATCACCTGATCCAGGGACAGAAGGGAGTTCAGAGGGGAGTGGAGTTGCAAATTAGCAAAGACAAAATGCCTCCTTGCTGCTCGGCACCCTGCTGGGAGAAAAAATTCTTCTCTGCAAACTAATGAGATTTCACTGCTCTTCCAGCAAACACATAATTGGAGAGGATCTTCAGAACATAAAAATCAGACCTTGTAGCCAAGAATGAGTCCGTTCCTGTCGGGCTCAGGGACTTCAGACCAACGCACTAAGATGCTGCTTGAGGTGGTGGCGAATGCTGACACGTTAGTGGGTCCACATGAAGGAACTGAAAGATAAGACATGGAGAAGGTGGAAATTACAATAAGCAAGCAGCAAATATAACTCTGCAGTTTCTTCTTTATTTTTTAAATACACTTGAAAAAATCTAGATCAGTCATTTTTTCTTCAAATAAGTGCATTTGCTCTTGAATTGAGGAGGTAAAAGAGACATTTTGCCAATGGAACAAGACAATTTACTCTAAAAATAAGAAAACACAATTGCAATGTCTTATTTCAAGTGCATTTTATCTAAATATCTTATTTTAAGAGTAAAAATACTCATTCCACTGGCAAAATATCTCATTTAACTACTCAAATTAAGGGTAAATACACTTAATTTAACAAATTTTTACTTATTACTAGATCGTTTTTCCAGTGTAAAAGGCATTTAATTGTTTATATTCTCCTTCCAAAGCTTCTATAGATATGTTTGCATCCATCTAATTATATAACAACTTATTTCAAAGGATTTGTTTGCAGGTTTAGACAAAACACACAGGATTTCTATATTTAAAAACAACAGTTTTAAATTCCTTATCATTCCCCTTATTCTGGTACACTGGAAAAAATCAAAATCTAGATAAGTAATTTTTTCTTAAAATAAGTGCATTTGTTCGTGGATTGACGGGGTAAAAGAGTGATTTTGCCAATGGAACAAGACATTTTACACCTAAAATAAGAAAACACAATTGCATTGTCTTATTTCAAGTGCATATTATCTAATTATTTTATTTTAAGAGTATAAAATACTCATTCCATTGGCAAATTATCTCATTTACCTACTCAAATTAAGGGTAAATACACTTAATTTAAGAAATTTTTGCTTGTTTTTCCAGTGTATAGCTATTGTTTGTGGAAAAAGGCATCATTTGAGTCTAAATTTAAGGTGTTGTATGAAAAGAAGAGCACCTCAGTGCTAATAAAGCACACAGCACTGGAAAAAATTGAGATCTAGATAAGTCATCTTTTCTTAAAATGATTGCATTTTTTCTTGGACTGAGGAGATAAAAGAGACAGTTTGCCAATTGAACAAGACAATTTACGCTTAAAATAAGAAAACACAATTGAATTGTCTTATTTCAAGAAAATATTATGTAATTATCTTATTTTAAGAGTAAATATACTCATTCCATTGGCAAACTATCTCATTTACCGACTCAAATTAAGGGTAAATCCACTTAATTTAAGAATTTTTACTTATTTCTAGATTTTTTTTCTAGTGAGTACACTGCAAAAACGATCTAGAAATAAGTAAAAATGTCTTAAATTAAGTGTATTTACCCTTAATTTGAGTACGTAAATTAGATAGTTTGCCAATGGAATGAGTAATATGCACTTAAAATAAGACAATGCAATTGTGTTTTCTTATTTTAAGTGTAAATTGTCTTGTTCCATTGGCAAAATGTCTCTTTTATCTCCTCAATCCAAGAACAAATGCACTTATTTTAAGAAAAAATTACTGATCTAGTTTTGGATTTTTGCAGTGTAAGGTGTGAGCTGTAAGTTTATACCTATAATTTGAATACTGCTCTCCACAGCTGCTAAAATGCAGTGATTCTGAGCAAACAGGATATCTTCCTTTCGAAAAAAGTCCACCATGATTCCTTATTCACACGTTTTTGTTCGGCTTGCTTTATCGGACCTCATGCACACTCACCGGACTCCCTGGTTCTGCCTCTGACCGGCTGGCTCCACGGTCCCGTCCCAATGCCGTTGACAGCCTGGACCCTGACCTCGTACTCCGTCCACTCCTCCAGGTCTTCGATGGTGAACTCCCTCTCCAAACGATCTGTGATGATGTGGGTCAGCCCGCGGCCCTGGGAGCCGACGCGGTAGTACTGAATGCTGTATCCCACCTGCTCTGCGTTTCCATTGTATTCCCATTCAGGAAGGGGCTGCATTGCATAAATGAAAGATTAATGAAAGATGCATATAAAAGGAAAATACCTTCAACACTAATTGAGAAATTATCTGTTACATTTATAATAATCTACTGGTCAAAAAAAATGAGAAGCAGATAAAATAAATCAAGCTCTGTAAGTTAAAAATGGAGAAGCATTCTCTTCATTGTTAAAGCACCCAAGGTTATGGGTAATTATTGTGTCAGATCAAATATAATGCCATAGATGATCATGACCTTTAAAAAGAAGTAAACCTCTGTTATTTTAAGGCTTGTTTTAACACTTTCTCAGCAGGGGAAGCATAAAACGTGCTGTTCGATGTCACTTACCATCCATCGCAGCCACAGGCTGGTCTCACTGGCTGTGCGCAGGGTGACATTGGCGGGGGCCATGTCAGGAGGAGCTGGAAGCGTCTGAATCTTCCTTGACGGCTGGCTGGGAGGACTGCTGCCAACTATGTTCACCTGCCGCATGCGGAATCTAACAACAAATCCTTGATTATTATGCAAATTGTGGAAAAATGCCTGACCAAGCATTGCTATGCAGCTCGCATGCTTTAACATGTGAGCTGGAGCTTCCAAACAGAGATCAAAGCCTCGGGTAGAAACACAATATAAATATGCTGAGAGGAAGCTTCTCCATGTTAATGCCTGAATATGCAACAGAATAAACTGTTGTGTTTATAGCTGAATATAAACTGGCAGTGCAGATATCTACTGTTGTTATTGGTCTTCAGGGACTGCCTGATTCAATTTGCTGTATCCAATATGATCAGGGAAAACAAATAGACTAGATCAAAATAAGCACCATTACCGAAGTAAAAATTAACTAAACAGTGCTTGGATTAAAATTAAAGGAAAAGAAAATAAGAGCTCCAGGGATAAAATGAAAATATCTGAGTTGGAGGAGAGTACATCCACTTGAATGAGTGATTTTTGTCAAATTTTTTGCATAATCTTACAAAGAAGACAGCATGATGGACATATGCTTCATTTAAACAGTTTTTCAGGTACTGTTTCCTCTTAAAGTAACAGAATCTCCTTAGATAAAGATAACTGAAATGAGAAACAAGTTTTATGGTGTGATTTTGGAATAGGCATCATTTTCCTCCGATCCTATTTTAAGTAGAATTATCTGAATAAACCAGAAGATACAAACCACCTCAAAGCCTTAGGGAGTCAAAAGAGCAAAGAAGAGATTCAGGAGAACAAAAAGAAAATGAAAACATGACATTGATTGTGATATAAAAATAAGTATGCTCTGGTCTGCCCACACATTGCCTCTAATAACAGAGCATCTATATCAGGGGTTCTGTCCTGCACTGAAAAAGATAATGCAACCAATTTTGTTATTTATTTAATCATATTTAGTTACTTTAACACAACATTTTTTATGTCCTACCCTGCTAATTAGGGATGTAACGATATTGACATTATCGCGCTATCGCGGTGGTAAACGTGTCTCGATATCGTCGTGGTTGGGTTACAATAATAAAAGGACAGGTGTCCGTTAAAAAGCAAGAGATTAAACACAGTCCTGCGGAACAAATCATTGTTAACTACATAGACCATGATCCTTTGCGCTGCGTTGTCATACTGACCGTTCTTAAGCCAATAGGATTGCACGCAGATTGCACGCTGTCCACACAAGCTCGCAGCAAGCTAGCATGGCCGACATCGATGGTCGTAAGGATGAAAACAACAACCCCGAAGTTGAGATTGTGCCCGCCCCTGCAGCTTTTAAGTCAGATGTTTGGAAACATTTTGGCTTCGCCGTGTCAAAAAACGCAAAAGGAGAGAAGGTGGTGGACAGACAATGGACTATATGCAAGCACTGCCACAGTAAACTGCGATACAACACGGGAAACAAAAGCGATATCCAAAGTCACCTGACGACTCATCATCCAGAAAAGCTTGCAGATTCTCTCACATATAATGTCCTGTCTGGTCAAAAAACCCTGAAGGAGGCTTTTCTTTTTTCTTGAAATGTAGATCTTTTGATCTTTCTGATGAAAAATGTGAACATAAGCCAACTGATAGGTCAGTGTTTTAAAAAAAAGCTTTTTGACTATTTTATTTAAGTTATGTTCTTAAATACCAGTTTTAAAAGGTTGCTTTTACTTGCCTTGCACATTTAAACCTGACTTGATATTTGTTTGCACTTAAAGGGAATTCCCTATTGTTTACAATTGTTCTGGTTGCTTCTTAACTTGAACATTATTCACAGAAGAATCAACAGAATATTGATGTTCCTGACTACAACTTGCGCTTTAAAAGCACTATGTGATCAGCGTTTTATGTTGCAATGATCCATAAATACAACAATTAATTGCCTGTTGACTGGCAAAAGCAGAAAAAATGTCTATTATTTTGCTATTATCATCACAAACACTATCGTGAGCTATTTAACAGTACCGTAAGCTTTTCCACAATATCGCAATAAATATCGTACCGTGAGATTTTGTTATCGTTACATCCCTACTGCTAATATGAAACAATTGTATTAAAGTAACTAAATATGATTACATAAATGCCAAAAACGGTTGCAATATTTTTTTCAGTGTGATACCGTCCTGCAGCTTTTGCATGCATCCTGCTCCAACAGACCTGAAATAAAGAGCAAACGACCTCAGCAGGTTTAACAGAGGTCTGGTCATTAATGATTTATTTTTCTCAGGTGTGTTGCAGACGGGATGCATGCAAAAGCTCCAGGACAGTGGCACTCAAGGAACGATGCTGCCTACCGCCGCACTATAATGAACTGTGACAGNTTTCTTAAAATAAGTGCATTTCTTCTTGAATTGAGGAGGTAAAAAAGACATTTTGCCAATGGAACAAGGCAATTTACACTTAAAATAAGAAAACACAATTGCATTGTCTTATTTCAAGTGCATATTATCTAATTATCTTATTTTAAGAGTAAAATTACTCATTTATTGCTCATCTCATTTACCTACTCAAATTCAAAGTGAATGCACTTAATTTAAGAAAATTTTACTTATTTCTAGATCGTTTTTGCAGTGTGTTACATTGTCTGTCTTTCATAGTTGAGAACCTCTGAGTCTCTTTGGAGTAAACGGCATAACTAGAATTAATGCTGTTTTTGTTTGGAGGAAGTTTGAGCTTTTGCGGTTCCTGGACTGTTTCTAAACACCCAGACTAGACTGTTTGGATCGTATGTTTAAATTTAGGCTCAGACAGGCTGTCAACCTGCTGTGAGTCTATGTGTGCATGGCTGTCGCTGCATCTGTCTTGCTTTTTTCAGATGAGTTGATTAGAAGTTGCACCAGGTTATCATTCTAGGGATGGAAGAGGCTGAACTGAAATGTCTGTTACCTGTAGAAGGTGTATGGGTTGAGACCAGGCACCTCCAGAGAGCGAGCCTCGGGTTCATTTGACACCTGATGAACCAACACCCACTCTTCATTTTCTCCCACCACTCCAACCTGCAGGGAGTAGAGAGAGATTTCAAGGCCTCAGGCAGTCAATCAGATCTTTAAACTATTCCTGAAACAAGATTCTTTTAAATATTCTTCACCCAGATTCAGTAGTTTGTAGATCACATTGCTATGTTTTCACATTAAGGTGCTGAAAATGTTGCTGTTCTAAGTCAATAGGAATGGAAAGAGAGCAACTTTTGTCAGTTTTCAGGATTTGTTCATGTTTCCCTGATCATTTTCAGGTCTGGACTTTGACTGGACCGTTCTAGTAACCTGAATAACGTCTTATCTAAAACATTTCATTAGAGCTCTGGCTGTCTGGTTAGGATGTCGAAAGACCTTCAAACCTAGTCAGATATTTTTTTACAACCATCCATTTTACTGCCTTCCTTAATCATGACATTGTTTCATATTTAAAGCCAGCAACTCTTCCTAAAGACGTGGCATTTTGCATGAAGGAGCAAAATTCCCAGCTTTTGTGTGATATGACCAGAAAACCACCTCCTATATGTTTGCTTTGCCCTTTCTATGGGTTTTGCCATACTTCATAGATCTGCTGGTGAAGATTCTCAGTCATCCAGGTCATAGTCATTCCAAAAAAAAAAAAAAACAATCGATTGGACTTGGTTTTCAAGTTGGAAGAAGTTTCGCTTTCCATCCAGGAGGCTTTTTGGATTAGAATACATGCAAATTAAAGCAGAAGAACGGAAAAGGGGAGTTTTTTGGTTTTTTTTGTTAGCCTGTAATACCTGATACTGGGCTATGCCTCTGAAAGGGGGTCGTTAGGGGCAATTGTTAGCTTGGCTGCCCAGGACAGATGTTTTGTCCCCTGCATGGGGTTGGGGGGTTGTAATGATAGTGGGAAGGAATCAAATCTGACGCTGCATTGTAGGTTTTTTTTTTTAGCTGAAACTTGACGTCATCCTCTCTGTTTAAGGTTGGTTTTTCTTTCATAACATAAATGGCTTCCTTCACACCCCTTTCAAACCAAATGTCTTCTTTGTCCAAAATGTGAACATTCTGGTCCTCAAACAAGTGTCCATTGTCCTTAAGGTGCAATTGGACAGCAGAGTCGTCAGTGGAGTATATAAAGCTTTGAAGTCATTGCTACTTCTGACATTTTGAATTGAAAAAGCTTCCTGGATGGGAAGAGAAACATCTTCAAACATGGAAACCAAGTCCAGTAGATTGTTTTAGGAAATACTGCGTAGATCATTTCTATGGAAAATGGCAAAAACCACATAAAGAGTCGTACATGAGTGTAGAAAACAACTCCAGGATGCCTAAATGATCATTGCCAAGCCAGTCGCTTTAGATGAACGACCATCTTCAGGTTGCTTTGCAGTCGTGCCATACTTCTATTTTAAGATGACGGCTACTGTGTCTTAACATTTAATATAAAGAAACTCTGAGACCTATGAAGCCTTTAAAGAACAGCTCTATTTATAGTTTGGGTTAATTTCATTTATAGCACATTTTAAACAGCTAAGCTGTACTGACATAATTTAAACTAGCAGGGGACCATGAAAATAATATAAACACAGTAAAACAGAGCAAAAAGCTATAAAAGTATTTACGATTTAAACTGATATATTACTGGAAAGTAAAGTAGGTCTATGTTGACCTTAACTGACTGCGACAAAGTGGGTTCTTCCACTTTAGTTACGACTTTTATTCACTTTTGTTTGTTTTTTTCCCTCCTACTGGGAATGTCTGGTAGAACCAGTCTGAGCTGCACAGATGAGGAAGACAGATGGTCGGTTAAACTACATAACATTTAGACAACTCCCACTCTAGAAAGTGAAAAGCAAAAAAAATGTAAACTGTAGTAAACGATGCATATATTTCCAACTCTAAAATGATGTGTTAATTTTCTATCAAACAAAACCCCAACAAGATTTATTGAGGTCTGTGGTTGTAATTTGGCAAAATGTAAAAAGTGAAGGAGGTTAAAATACTTTTGCATGGCAGTTTATATGATTAAGAATAGATTTATGGTTCTGAGTTTATTCTTAAGTTGTTTTTTGTCTCACCTGGGCTTCTACAAGCCAACGAGAAATAGAGGTTTTGCCATCATAGCCAGGTTTAAACTGCAGGTTGACAGAGCGTGGGCCGATGTTGGTTATAGCAATGTTGGTAGGATGGCCAGGAAGCTCTGCATGGAAGCAAAGACAAAGAAAACAGAGAGAAAAAGCATTATTTTACAGCCTCCCACAGAGGGTAACTCTGGTTTCCAAAACCCATTGACGACAGTGCCCTCTGGTGGCAGTACAAATACTACACACAAATGAATTTATCAGCCATTAATCCTACTTACCTCACATTTCCCAGTTCCAGCTTAGATTATAAAGGCAGTTTAGATTCTGAGAGGTGTC